CTGAGAAAACGAAGGCAGTTTGACTACAGGGCTTAAATCCGGTGTAAAATGTACTAGGATCTGACTGCTGATGGGGAACATCTGGTCTGTGACCTTCACGCCTAAGGAGGTGTGAAACAACTCTTTGGAGATAGCTCAGCAGCAGGCAGGATGCTTTATAGTGGCTCATTATTGCTCAGGAGCGGAGCCCTGGGCAAGGTCCTGGAGACCCCTGGGGATTGCTGGGGGCTGCCCACTGTGGCTCGGCGGTGGTCGTGGTGGTCCAAGCTCAGGTGGAATTGGGAGAAATGCAGGTGTCTGGGGCAGTGCTGCTGCCAGGCAGCGAGACAGACCCCACGGCAGCACCGGCGACGTGACGGCACTTCTCGCTTCAATTCTCAACAACCCTGCTCAGCCCCTGAGGAGCGACCCGCGTGGCTGGTGTCCCCCAGCAGCTCCGTGTCCCGACCCCTTCCAAGTGTCCCATCAGACCCATGTTACAGGGAGAAGTGAGGGACAAGAGTCCGTGCTGCTGGAAACCACATCTGTCCTCCTGCCTGCCCATCGCTGCCCAGCCCGCAGCTGCAACTCGCTTTTGGGAGTGCGGTTTATTGCAACTCGAACTTTTAATCTGTTAATAATCTGACATTTACTCGAAGAAAGGAGGTAGATATGGAAAAAGGCAAAGCCACCGCTCTTCTGCTGCACAGCATGTGCCCAAAGCAAGAGGAAAAAGGGCTCATAAAAATATGATTAGATTTACTCTGCCTCATTTCAAACCAGAGCATGCTCATAATTCACAGTGACAGAGGAGGGTTCACCAGGCGGAGACCCCACTGATAGACGTTTCAGTAACCACTTTCAATTAGGAATTTCTTGGCGGGTTCCCAACTTTGTGTCAAACTCTTCTGGGCTGCGTTTTGGCCGGGTCAGCTTCATATGTGTAATTGAGTCCCTGCTGAGCCGCGAGGCGGGAGGGTTGCCTTTGCTCGCGGAAGAGGTGGAGAACTGTCCCTGACAGCCTGTGAAGGAGGAGCATTTCACACCCAGAATAGAAAACTGCCTTCTAGCTGAATTGTTCCATTAAAAAAAAAAAAAGTTTTTTTTTTTGAAATCACTGGATTTGGGTTTAAAAGAAAATAGTTTTTCAACATATATGCCAAATGAAAAAATAAGATTCATCCAAGGTGTCCCTCTCGCACCTCTCCGGGCCAAGATCCGGCCGTCCTTGGGCTGGTGTGGCCAAGGTGAGGCAGCTCGAGCGCAGGGACTGGCACAACTGCTGCATCGTGCCGTGTCTCCCAGCACTGCGGGAGCACTGGGCAGCCCCTGCCCATGGCTCTCCCAGCTCTTACTCCCGGCAGGCTGGGATGTGGCTGAGCTGGAGCAGCCTCTCGCCTTAGCTCTGCTTCAGCATCCGCTGAAAAATTTTAAAGCGTATTTTATGGCAGGCAGATCTGGCCTGAAGCCTTTTTCCTTCCTTGGAGATTTCAATGAGAAAGTCATTATTTTGCTGATTTTTGTTGACACTCTGTGTAAGAGTTGCCATGGCTCTCGCCCGGCACACCTCTCCTGGCCGGGAAGTCGGGGGACTGGGACGGGGAAGGCGCAAGGCTGCTGCCATCGCCGGCCAGGGCCAGGTGGGGACGCGGGGTGCCCAGGGACCTACCGGGGTGCAGACACCTCTGCAGCCGTGCCTGGTCCCCAGCACCATGGGCAACAAGTGTGCCCTGTGTTCTTGTTTCACCCCTCTCTTACTGTGATGCATTTTGCCATTTCCCAAGCTCTTTCACACCATTTTACCACAAATCCCGCATTTTTTTTTTCCATATCTTTTCCCAGACAGGACTCTGGGTATCCTGAGCATGCTGAAGTTTCACAGCCCATTAGGAGAAGGGAACGATGTCCCCACCAGCCGGGTTCACCCCTCTGGGCTGCAGAGAGTGAATTAGGAGCGGGCTGGGAGCGGGGCTGCAGCCTCCAGCGAGGACGGGACGGCTCAGGACGCAGCCAGCGGCGCTGCCGTGCTGGGCCCCGACCTCGGGTGGCTGCTGCTCTGTGGCTGCCTGTCCCGGGGGACCACCCAGGGTGGGTGTTTGCTGCTCTCAGAGGGACCGTTCTCCTCATACGGGATCTGTGGCCCACGGGGCAGCCCCTTAAACCCCCCTCTGCCCCTGGCACTGCTTAGCACCCTCCTTAATTAATTTTGCAGACTACACAGCCGGTTTTGATGAAAAACATCCCACAAAAAGCCAATGAGCAGTCACCGAGCAACACTGCGGCCTCTTTTAATGATATTTTCTTTGTGGTTTTGGTTTGGAATATCTTAAATGAAGAAAGAAGTCCCCCTCTTGGACTGAAATTATTTGACTTTATCCCTTCATTTTCTTGCATTCCTAAATGCTCAGCTCCGCTACCTAGGGCTCAGGAGGGGTTTTCAATTGGCCGTAGCAGGGCTAGGATGATGACCTCTTTACCTGTTTCCTTCCTACCATCTTCTGCACCGTCCTTACTTGTGCTACCACTGATGCATCCACATCCCCAATTCCTTTTCCCCGTGGCATTTGGGTTTTACAGGGGGGCCATGCCCAGCTCGCCTCTCCTGTGGCTGTTTGCAGCAAGCATGGGAGAAGCACTGCTGTAAACAAGACGGATTTGTCCCATCTCAAGCTGGGACATGGCATTCATGTTCACCAGCACTTTTACCGGGTGTAATCTTACAGTCACATCCTCTGCAGAAGGTGTTTTATCCAGCACGGTATCTAAGAGCCCGCCCCAGGCACAGTCCTTCCAGTTCGGTTGTATTTTATCTGTGGAGCTCCGTAAAGATTTTGTTCCGTCATCCTGGAATTTTTATGACTCCTTTGTGTGTATATAATGTGATTGCCCTGGAACGGAGAGAAATTAATCATCATTCCTTTGTTAGTTTTCAGGAATTTTTAATGTCTATGTTTTTGTTCTTCTGTCATGTCCAAATGTGGGGTCCATGGGCTATTTGACATTTAAAATGACTTAATTGCTTAGATTTTTCCCTCTCAGTGTTTATGGACACTTGTTCGTAGTATTTTGTGTGTAACATTATGCACCATGTATTTTCTGGCTGCTTCCAATTTTTCACTTCATCCCAGTGGTTCACAACATCTCCTCCTGCTATAGACCACACCTCTGACCTCCATCATCTGCCAGCGGGTCGATGGGACGACCGAGGCTGCGAGACGTGGCCTAGAGCAACCTCCACCTGCGGCTCATCCCTCCCCGGGTCAGATGATGTGGGATCCAGGGCCTTTAGTGGCTTTTTTTAAGATGTCTGCCTAAGGAAGACATCCGAGGTGTCGTGTCTTGGGTACCTGTTCTCCAGCCAGGCTCTAGGTGCCACGTGGGATCAGGGCGAGGTGCCCCTGGGATCTGGTAGCAGCCAGTCTTGGCCCCAAGCCTGGGAGCAGGCTCACTCCGCAGCTCTCCTCTGCCAGATCTCTCATTTTGGGGGATTACTGCCTTTTTCACAGATCGCCATCCTTTGCAGTGGGCAGACTGCCTGGGTGCTGCTCCTGCCTGTGCCTCCCCCTCCTCCTGCATGCAGGTCTGTTCTGGGTAACCCTGCTCGCTGCGTCCCGGGTCTGTGCTGGGAAGGTTTGTGGCACAGGGACAGGCACAACCTCCTCCACGAGCCAGAGGCTCCCAGTTACCGTCTGGATTCCACTGCCCCTTGATTTTTAGGCAGAAAGTGCTGGTACCAACCCTGTTAGATACGGCGGGGTGAGGTGTGGGGACAGGCAGGCACTGCAGACAGAGTGACATTTGGGTTCTTGGTAAACACTGCAGGATAGATGGGAGCAATGTATCACTAACCATATTACACACGTCATTAGGAAAATGTTAGTTAAACCAAAAGATGCAAATTGTACCAGGCTGTGCTTCCTGAGCACTCTGCAAAGCCTCTGCAACGTCATGTGCTTTTGCTGTGGCTCTGTAATGCCTTCGACGCTTTCTTGGGCACGTTTGCTCCTGATCCATTGAGACTGTTTTGCATTAAATTGTTTGTTTAGCAGCTACTGGGTTTTTGGCAGGACAGCTGTTGCCTTCTGCGGGCTGCGGAGCAGGAGAGTGTCATGAAATGCTGCTTTGCAGAGCAGCCAGGCGCAGCAAGGTGAACCCTTCCTCGTTTCAGAGAGAAGCGCGGCAGCACCCATCGCTGCTGCCGCCCCACCAGACCCACCATCTCGCAGCACCCTGTGGGCTCGGGCCCGGTGGTCTTTGTGGTGGGGGCACCTCTGGGGCTCCTGCTGGGGCCATGGGGACCTGTGACAGCCACGGGCCAGGCTCCGTAGACCCCTCCTGGGAAGATCTCCTCATGGGACAAGGTCACCCAGATCCCAGACCCGCAGCGAAACCCTCCAGACCCCGATGCGCGCTAAGGAAAACAGTCCCAGCATATTAATACTTGCAAAAACAAACACTAGGAAGAGAGAAGGAATGAACCAGCCATTCAGGGAGCACTAAGCCTCTCCTCTCCAGATCTCCGATCTCTCCATGTCCTGTGGCCGTTGTCTCCCTGCACACCCCACGCCAAGAGCAGCTTCTGCAAATGTCTTCAGCTGCGCCCTAGGCGGTCTGTCCCAGCATGGCTTGCTTTAGAAGGGGCACCTACACACCTCCCCAAAACAGCTTTGCCTCTTTTTTCTGGTCTCTTCAGCGTGTCCAGCACTCACGTTGCAACACAACATCCTGGTTTCCAACAGGGCGAAGCTCTGCTTGGATGGGGAGCGCAGAGAGGAGCCACAACCAAGGGAGACATGGCACAGCCACGGGAGGTGCTGCAGCATCAGCAGCTCAGCGTGCCTCCTGCGGCCTTGCAAGGGTTCTCACCTCTCCTTCGCAATTGTATTTTATTTTATTTTTTTTTAATTTAAGGAGAAGCCAATCACTGATTTTAGGTGGTTCCTGAGCATAGCAAGTACAATCAGGCTAACATCGCGTTAGCCCCGGCGTGCACGTTAGTGCTGTTCTTCCTCCACACTTAGGAAGAGGAGGTGGCACAAATGAGCTGTGTTCACCTGCTCGCCCTCGCATCGTTCCTGGTACTGGCTCCTGCAGAGAGACCCTCTGGGGGTGTCCCTGGGTGTGCAATCCACCGTGGGACTGGCGTGGCAGGTCCAGACTGACAGCAGCAGCAGCAGGGGAGGGAGTGAAGGAAATCCCAACACCCATGGTAGAGAAAGCAGCCGGTGAGCAGCGCAGAGAGCCGTGCCCTGTAGCCCATCCTTCATCCTAAGGTAACGCTTCGACAGAGTTACCTGCTGAACTGGGAGGGCATTCCGGGGCTGGTGGGGTGGTGGAGGTCAGAAGGGACATCTGGAGGTGATGGATCCGAACTCCTGTGCAGGGCAGGGCCTCGCTTAGTTACTCAGGGCTTTGCCCTGAGGAGTTTGGACTGTCTCCACAATCTCCCAGCCTCTCCAGGAACCAGCCCAGAAGGTGAGTGAGGCTGCCTAAGGGCGAGTTAGCCCTGCCTCCAGCGCCTGCCTGGGCCCTGAGAGACACCTGGAGATGGAGGGGCCCAGGTCCACGGCTGCCTGACCGCAGCTCTGCCTGCTGTGAGGACAAAGGACCTGCTCCCCAAGGGCCGAGCAGGCAGGAGTCGGGGGGTTCAGCCCCTCCACGCAGGAGCCTGTGGGGTGAAAGCCAGGGGTGAGCGTATCCCCAGCACGAGCCACCAGCGCAGCACAGCACAGTGCAGGGGTGATGGGGAGCACTGGGAGGCTACCTCCACCCCAGTCTGCATCTGCACATTTAAGGGTGTTCAAAGGGTATTTAACGGTGTTTAGGTACGTTTAAGAGCTCACCCTTCTCCCTGGGACTAGCACAGGCAAGGGAGCCCACATGCTCCTCCAGCAGAGTGTCCCCAAAGCTGCCCCGAGGTGGGTGGCACAGCTGGAGCTGGAGGGGACCCACAGTCTCCCTGCCTGCCACCCCGGGGTGCCCCTGGGTGCCACCGCTCGGGATTTGCTGAAGGAGGAGTTGCTGCGTGCAGTGAGTTGTGAGCATCCTCAGCTGCCAGCGGTGTGAGAGCAGCCCCCTGCTCGCCAGGCTGCGTCAGGGACGAGCCACCACGCTGACATGCGCCCACCCCACGTCCTGCTCCGACACCCCTGGCGCTGGTGCCGTCGGGCAGCGTCCTGAGATGAGGAGATGAAGGCCTTTGTGCAGCAGTATCCCTCCGGATCTGCACTGGAGATGCGTGGGGGAGGCCTGAAAATGCTTTCGAGCCCCAGCCCCGCAAGAGGGGTCCTGGAGGCGCACAGCTGGATGAAAGCAGACACATCTGGGTTGTGTTCCACGCTCGGTTCTGGCCCCGCTGCTGGGGCTGGGCTCCCTCCTCCCTGCTCCAGGCTGCTCCGTCCCCTCCCGCCGTGGCCAGAGGACTTTTGGAGGCAGAGGTGGGCTCTCTCCCCCTCAGATATAGAGCCACGGCTGCGGCCCCAGGTGTCATGGCCAGAAGAGTTCTGTGGTGCTGTGTCACCCCATTTTGAACGTTGGGGATTTTTTTTTTTTCCTTTTTGTTGATTCAATCCGAGCGTGGCTCGTGTGCTCACAGCCCTCACTGCTTGTTGCCCAGAGCACGGGCACCACACCGCTCTCCTCCCGGGGCAGCGGGCAGAGCCAGCGGCTCCCACTCAGGCTGGGTCCAGCCCCAAACCATCTCACGGGGTCGGGGGGGACGTTCCTCCTGCTCCGCTCCGGGTCAGACCCGCCATCCCCAGCAGACAGTGTCAGTTTAGCTTTAATCTGGCCCCAAACCCAAGCAAGTCTCCCCCATCCAAGCTACCTCCCCGCCTGTCAGTCAATCAGCTTGACTTGTTGTTTGCTTCACGGTGCTTTTCCACAAACATCGGTATAAACAGGATTTCTCTCTGCAGTTTTTCCGGTCGGACCCCTTCTAATTTGGAATCTTTGTTTGTTTGTTTGTTCTGTGAAATTTGTAATGGTTTCCAGGAAAGCTGAAACATTTCCAGCCCACAGCGAGGTGCCTGGGGTGCCCCAGCTGGGACGCACGTGCCTTCCTCCCCCGGCACCCCGGCCGGCACACGCCGCCTGCCCCGACCTGCACCCCTCCCGACTTACACAAGAGCAAACGGAAAACACGGATCACATTTCTCCTAAAACCTGCCACGAAACAAACCCGATGCCACTTTTGGGGAGCTGGAGAAAGGGAGGGTTTAAAATGAAACGTTTCTGTACGATGAGAGGGTTTAAGTGAAATGTTTCTGTACGATGGAAAGATCATTAAGCCGAGCTTTGCAGCGATGTCTGTCCGCACCTATTGCCAGGTTCTCACATCAGAAAGCTTCACCCAGCTCTAAATCTGGGACTAGAGCATCCGCTGATGCTTGCAAAGAGGCTACAAGAGAGCACAGAGAGGTAGGGGCTGTCTGTACCCACAAGCTGGCTGTTAACTCTGAAGACTAATGACGTCAGGGCAAACAACAGCAAGAACGATCTTGTTTCTAAAGAAGCCTACAAGAAAGATGATACATTCCCTTTCTTTTTGTAAACTAAAGTGCCTTTCTGTGTTCATCCCTGAAGTGACTGCCACTACCCACCTGCAAGGAGCAATGGGGATACTTAAATCAGCCCCACCAGCCCCGTGGTGAGGTTATGGGGATGAATGAGGCTGGGGTCGTGTCTGTCCCGTTAGGAGACGGCTGACAAGTGGAAGAGATGAAGCAGAGGGATGTCCCCGGCTCTTTGGAGCAGCCCCACCAAGGCCCCGAGGTGCACAAGCAGCAGCTGTGGGGGCTGCCATGGCCCCTCTCACCAAGGGGTTCGGTCGCCCCCAGCCGGGGCCACCCCGGGGTGGCCAGAACAACCCCTCTGGTCTTGTCTCCCTCAGACAGCAGCACTTCAAGCATGCAGAGTCCCAGATTTGCCTTAAATCAGAAATTGTTTCTTGTGGGATTTAAATTCCTTGACATTGCTCTCTGTATAGCTGACCTGGATTTATTTATTATTAGAAATAACTTTGCCATATTAGAGCATCACTGCAGCCAGGGCCGGCGACAGGAGCTTGGAGCTTGGGCTGTTTGTCACCCCGGTGCCTCATTGTCCCCAACCCTGTCCGAGCCTGCGTGGCCGGGACGGATTGTGGGGATCCCTCACGGCTGGGAGGGACCAACATCTCCAGGCAGCAACAAACTGGTCCCGTCTCCTCTGCAAACCAAGAAGTTGCCAGAGAAAAGAAACCTTTGGGATGGAGCAATACAACTGAAAACCACTTTGCACATGAAGAACATCGGGTTTTAACCGATAAAGCAGAACTTGGTATAATAAAAATCTTTTGGGGAATGTGATGTGCTCCAGGGGTTTTTAACGTTGACCAACATAAGCCATAAAGTTTCAGTTTACCTGAAGGCACCTTTTTTTTTTTTTTTTTTTTTTTTTGATCAGGACTTCAGGCACCTCCGGCAAAGAGCCGTGCAGCCCGGCTCAAGTCTGCGCTTTACCGGCCACGGGGAGAGGCGACCGCGGGTGCAAGGTGGGCGAGTCCGATCTAACTATTTAGTTCTGACACAGAAAAGCGCAAACCCACCCCTCGACTCCAGACAACTCGTTCCACGCGTGCCCCAGCCCGTCCCCTGTCTTGGGGGGG